ATTGGGGTTTACATCTCCCCAGGCCTTCCCTAAACTATGATGTAGAGTAGTTGGAAGTCAAGAGCTAGAGGGAAAAGGAGCTGTCATAGTGTTCAGGACTGTTCCTGGCTCCATGGCTCTGGCCGGGTAGGAAGGAGCATCTTCCATGCTCAGCCCTTAGTTCTTCCAACCCAGTAGAATAGTAAAAGGCAGTGGAGCCTAACCTATAGAGACAAGGGACATGTCAGATTCTCACAAACCAGCATACTTGTTGAAAGCTCCAGCCCAGAAGAACACTCAGACACCAAGTCATATACAGCAAAGTTTAATGTCAGCAAGCTGACAGACTGTCCCAGTTAGGTAGGGTATGGCAGCCTGTCTGAGTGCAGGAGAGTATTTTATGAGTCTGGGGGTCTGGGGGGTGGAGAATTCCACTAGGTGTGGGGAGTACTCTGCAGCTACCGCTGGGGCCCAAGGATAGCACTTAGCCAGGGCAGGGGTTTACTGATGGCAACAGTTGGGCAGGCAGCGTTCTGCTGATGCATCTGGGGTGTGATAGGTCACACACATTTGGGGGGAGGGGAGGGGAGTCAATTATGATCAGGCCTGGTCTGCTCCCCTATTCGAAGAAAGGGCTAAGGACCTAAGATGGAGGTTATTAAGTCAAAATGGAGGAAGACATACTAATACTCGTCCCCCTCTGTCCCATCAAGGATCTGGAAAAGGACTACCTTTCTCCAACTGTAGACTTTAGCTTTTTACTTATCTAGGGACAACCCCCACCCCAGCAATTCCTTCCCTTCCCTTTTGGTTCTCCCAACTCCACAACCTCCCTGGCCTTTCACCTCTTTCCCAGGTACTGATTTGCATTCATTAGCATGCTGTTCCTGCCCCTCCTAGAGCTCTTTAGTGGCTCAGACTTCATGCCTGGCTGGGTCCCCTAAAGGAGGAAATAGAAACAGGGGCTTGTTGGCTGAAGAGGCCAGATCAAAGATTTATTCCAAATGTAGGAATCTAGAGGTACTGGAGAAAGGTGGCCCAAGGAAAAAAGGTAATCTCCCCCTAAAGCAGTATGGCCTGAGTGCTAGTTTAATTACTAGAGATCTGCTGACACAGTGGAAGATGGTGTAGATGGCCACCTGGGAGAAATAAGGGATGGAGGCATGGAAAATTGGTGAGTCTGAGAGGAAGCTTTTAGCAAAAAGATCGGGGCAGCATGAGAGCCTTGGTTGCCTAGCCTGAGGATGCAACAATCCAGGATTCCTTGGGGAAAAAAATTGGGGGGGGGGGCTCAATCAGGGGGCTTGAACTTGGGGCCTGAGTGCTGTCCCTGAACACTCTTGCGAAAGGCTAGCACTCTACACTCTGAGCCACAGTCCATTTCCAGTTTCTTGGTGGTTAATTAGATAAGAGTCTCACAGACTTTTTTTTTTTTTGCCAGACTGGCTTTGAACTGTGATCCTCAGATCTCAGTCTCCTGAGTAGCTAGGATTACAGGCGTAAGCTACCAGCACCCAAAATAACCCAGGATTTCTGATAGTCAGTTTTCTGGAGATTCATTCTGCCTATGTTGTGTTGGGCCCTGTCCTTTTTCAGTTTCATACTTTGGAGCCTGGTGACCATCAATAGCTCTCTTAATCTATTTCATAGTTGCCTGTCTAGAAAATAAGGTTGCTGTGATATTAAAAGAGATAAATGACAAGCATTTAGCATAGTATTAGGACCCTGGAATTTATGCCTTAATAGCTATTAGAAAAAAATTTGTATGCAAGTACTGGGGTGATCTCACAGACTGGGTGCTGTACCTAAGCATTTTTTGCTCAAGCTTGTGCTCTACCACTTGAGCCACATCTCCACCTCCAGCTTTTTGCTGGTTAACTGGAGATAAGAGTCTCACAGACTTTCTAGTCCAGGCTGGCTTCAAAACTCAACCCTTAGATCTCAGCTTCCTGAGTAGCTAGGTTTACAGACAAGAGCAAGGATACATTATTAATATGACTTTTGGGGGGGGCGGAGGGGAGAGGAGGAGGCAACATAGGGGAGCTAGTGTCTTCTCACTGGCCAGGGAAACTCCAGATATTCCACATGACCAGAGATGGATCTGGAAGGCATGGGAGCAGCACAGTGTCTGTATGCAGGGGAAGCAGTTGTGACCTGATGTTGGCAAGAAGACCTTGACTTGGGGAATTTATTACTTTAGATCTTAAAATATCTGAAGGTCTTCCCCGAGTTCATTCAAAAGATATTTATTGATTGTGGCAGGCCTCATTCTCCATACCAATCATGGAGAGATAGATAAAGCAGCCAAGTTTCTGTCCTCATAGAACTTAACCTTCTAGGAGAAGGGAGGAATACCTAGGAGCCGCCGTGCTGGTGGCTCACACCTATAATCTTAGCTACTTTAGGAGGTAGAGATCTCAGGATTGAAGTTCAAAGCCACCCTAGCAGACAAATCTAACAGAGTCTTATCTCCAGTCAACCAGCAAGAAGCTGGAAGTGGAAGTGTGGATCAAATGGTAAAACACTAGCTTTGAATGGAAGAAGCTAAAGAACATCTCAAGGACCTAAGTTGAAGCCCTAGTACCAACCAATACATACACGCACACACGCGTGCATGTGCACACACACACACACGCACGCACGCGCACGCACACACACACACACACACACACACACACACACACGTTACCCTGGGGGCAATTTTGATTTCAACAGAGGGGTAGGTTCACTGGAAGATATTTAAGCATTACAAATGTCAAACAGCCAATAGGCTGTTCCAGGCATACTGAACACATGGGCAAAGGTCCCAAGTGGAAATGAACTTGGCATGTTTGAGAAATAGGACCAAAAACAGAAGCAAAAAGTAAAAAAAGACCAGTTGGCTGGAGCAAGGCAAGATGGAGAGTGTGAAGATAGGAGTCTGGCAGGCAGGCACTTTTGTGGATGAGGGATTCTATTCCCAGTGCACTGGTGGATTTCTAGCAGGACATAGTATGATTTGCATGTTTAAAAGATGATCATGGGGGCTGGGGAGGTGGCTCAGTGGTAAAGTACTTGCCTCACATGCCTGGGTTCGATTCCTCAGCATCACATAAGCAGAAAAAGCCAGAAGTGGCAATGTGGCTCGAGTGGTAGAGCGCTATCCTTGAGCTGAAGAGCTGAGGGACAGTACCCAGTCCCAGAGTTCAGGCCACACAACCAAAAAAAATAAAAAGAACTGAAGTTGGGCATCGGTGGCTCATGCCTATAATCCTAGCTACTCAGGAGCAAAAAAGAATGCTAGCTTTGAGCTAAAGAGCTGAGAGCACCCAGGCCCAGAGTTCAGGCCCCACAACTGACAAAAATGGTGCTTGAAATTTTTCTTTTTTTTTTTTGGGTCCGGTCATGGGGCCTGAACTCTGGGCCTGGGCGCTTTCTCTCAGCTCTTCAGCTCAAGGCTAGCGCTCTACCACTTGAGCCACAGCGCCACTTCTGGCTTTCTTTCTTTTTGCTTATGTGGTGCTGGGGAATCAAACCCAGGGCCTCAGGCATGCAAGGCAAGCACTCTACCCCTGAGCCACCTTCCCAGGCCCTTGCAATTTCTTTTAAAACAGTTCATGGAAGATGAAGATAGAAATGAAACACAATTGGTCGTGAATTGGTGATTCCTGAAGCTGGGTGATGGCAAAAAGTTTCCTTCTGTTATTTGGTGTACTTTTTTTTCGTCGATCATGGAGCTTGAACTCTGGGCCTGAACGCTGTCCCTCAGCTCTTCAGCTCAAGGCTAGCGCTCTACTACTTAAGCCACAGCACCACTTATGGTTCTCTGAGTGGTTTATTGGAGATAAGAGTCTCTCCAACTTTCCTGCCTGGGATGGCTTTGAAACCATGATTCTCAGATCTCAGCCTCCTGAGTAGCTAGGATTACAGGCATGAGCCACCAGCACCCAGCTTATTTGGTGTACTTTTAAAACTATTTGAGGGCTAGGAAGTTGGCTCAGTGGTGGTATGCGTACGTTGCATGCAGGAGGCCCTGGGTTCGATTCTTCAGCACCACATAAGCAGAAAAATGCTGGAAGTGGGAAGTGGTACTGTGGCTCAAGTGGTAGGATGCTAGCTTTGAGCTAAAGAGCTGAGGGACAGCGCCCAGGCCCAGAGTTCAGCCACTCACGACCAACCAAAAAAAAAAAAGTGTTTGATATTTTTCTTAGTGGAGAATTAAATTCTGGCTGTTGGATGGAGGGAGAATTCAAACTGCATTTGTTTGGGAAAGAGCTAAGGGCTTGGGCCAAGCTGAAGTAGTGGATAAGATGTATGAAGATGGTATGTGCAGGGTTTGATACATTCTAGAGGTTTCTATGCAGGTGGAAATGAAGTATACAAAAGAAAACTTTTTTGGATTGGATAAACTTTTTTTTTTTTTTTTTTTTGGCCAGTCCTGGGGCTTGAACTCAGGGCCTGAGCACTGTCCCCAAGCTTGTTTTTTTGCTCAAGGCTAGCAGTCTACCACTTGAGCCACAGCACACTTCTGGCTTTTTCTGCTTATGTGGTACTGAGGAATTAAACCCAGGGCTTCATGCATGCTAGGCAAGCACTCTACCACTGAGCCACGTTTCCAGCCCACGGATAAACTTTTGAGATACGCAAGATGGAGCCAAATGCCTGTGGCTCACATCTGTAATCCTAGCTACTTGGGAGACTGAAATACGAGGATTGCAGTTTGAAGTCAGCCCACACAGGAAAGTCCATGAGTCCTGTTAAACACCAAAGAGCTAAAAGTGGAGGTGCAGCTCAAGTAGTAGAATGCCAGCCTTGAGTCATGCACGCACATACACATGCACTTGCGCGTGCGTGCACACACACACTTGATAAAAAGGAGCTAGTTTGGGGCGAAATAGTTATGTTAGTTTTAGAGCCTGTTAGATACATGTGAGTGTCTGAGTCTGATGCTCAGCAAAGAGGATGGGGGTGGGTGAGCCTGGGTAGGGTACCTGCAAGCTCACTACACTGTCCTCCCCATGTTTCCCCACAGGGTACTGGCTTCGCGCTGAAATGAACTCCCAGCATATCCCCCTCCACCATGGCCACCCATAACCCAGTTTCTACTACTGGCACCACCTCCTCCCTTGGGCACAATGCGCCATCCCTGCCTGTGGACAACTGCTCTTCCAGCACCTCTGATCCTGTCACCAAAGAGTCCCCTATTGCCCCCTCCACCTCTGAGAGCATGAGGCCCTCAGAGCCAGGGGGAGAGCCTCTGGAGTCAGGCTGTGGCCTCATCCCACCAAAGGAGACTGGGGAGCCCCAAGAAGAGCCTGGCTGTGGTCATTTCACACCAAAGGACTTGGGGGCAGGAAAGAACAAGGAGCCAGAGGAGGAGGTGGAAGAGGAAGAGGAGGAAGGGCTCCCTCCTGTAGACCTAAGCAACCACTTATTCTACACAACTAGTGGTGAAGCCTACCTAGTAGCCGAGCTATCCCTGCCAGGCGACACTGAGCTCCTGTTACCAAAGGGCTTCCCTTGGGGTGAGGCAAGCATCAAGGAAGAGCCTAGACTGCCTCTCCTTGCCCGCTCCCCACCCTCACACCTCACTGCCCTTCACATCCAACATGGCTTTGACCCAATCCAAGGCTTTAGCTCTTCTGACCAAATTCTGTCCCATGATACCTCAGCGCCATCTCCGGCTGCCTGTGAGGGAAGGGATGGAGCCTTCTGGAGCTACCGGCTGGCTCCAAACCCACCCGGAGATCCCAAAGATGGCCCCATGGGGAGCAGAGTAGGAGACCACAGGGCACTCTTCTGGCTCTGCCTACTGTGCCGCCTAGGTTTCAGTAGGCCCCAGGCCTTTATGGGTCACACACAGTTTCATGGGGTGAAGCTAACCCCTGCCCAACACCAGAGCCTGCTAGGCAGCCCAGCCATGCTTCAGGAGGGGGACAAGGGTTGTGTGGCCCTTCTAAGCTTTCTGGAACCAAAACCTCTCCCTTGCCTTCCTCTTGAAACACCCTTTGACAACAGCAGCACAGAGAACACGGAGGTGAATGTACCCCAGATTCATGGCAGTCCTCTCGAGGCAGAAGTCCAGGCCCTTGTCCTGCCCACTGAGGAAGTCATGGCTAGCCCTCCCTCCCCAACCATAACCCCAGCCACCTGGGACCCCAGCCCAACCCAAGCCAAAGAATCGCCTATAGCAGCAGGCGAGGCAGGGCCAGATTGGTTCCCCGAGGGGCAAGAAGAGGATAGAGGGCTCTGCCCCCAACTCAACCAAAGCTCACCCACCTCCAAGGAGGGGGGCATTCTCCCTGCTCCAGTGGGCTCTCCTGAAGACCCCAATGACCTGCCCCAGCCCTACCGCCTACCTGATGACTACACTCCAGCCCCTGCAGCCTTCCAGGGCCTCAGCCTCTCCAGCCACATGTCCTTGCTACACTCACGCAACTCCTGCAAGACACTCAAGTGTCCAAAGTGCAACTGGCACTACAAGTACCAACAAACTTTAGATGTGCACATGCGGGAGAAACACCCTGAGAGCAACAGTCACTGCAGCTACTGCAGCGCAGGGGGGGCCCATCCCCGCCTCGCCCGAGGAGAGAGCTACAACTGTGGCTACAAGCCCTACCGCTGTGATGTCTGCAACTATTCCACCACCACCAAAGGGAACCTCAGCATCCACATGCAGTCTGATAAACATCTGGCCAACCTGCAGGGCTTTCAGGTGGGGCCTGGAGGGCAGGGAAGTCCCCCAGAGGCATCCCTCCCACCCTCTGCAGGGGACAAAGAACCCAAGACCAAATCATCATGGCAGTGCAAGGTGTGTAGCTATGAGACAAACATCTCCCGCAACCTGCGCATCCATATGACCTCTGAGAAGCACATGCAGAATGTCCTAATGCTGCACCAGGGCCTGCCACTGGGCCTGCCACCTGGGCTGGTGGGGCCAGGACCTCCTCCCCCACCAGGGGCTGCCCCCACCAACTCTCCTGAACTCTTCCAGTACTTTGGCCCCCAGACCCTAGGACAACCTCAGACTCCCATGCCTGGCCCTGGGCTGAGGCCTGACAAGCCCCTGGAGGCCCAACTGCTTCTCAATGGTTTCCACCATCTTGGAGCACCTGCCCGAAAGTTCCCCACACCTGGTAAGCTTCCTGAACTCTGTTCGCTCCTGCCCAGGCCAAACACTTTTTCTCCCTGCTTTCCCCAAAGGCCAGAACAACCACTGAGCACTGTCCAATCCCCCTCATCATTACCCACACTCCCACCCCCTATAGCAAACTGATGCTGTCCTCATTTTTTGCTTTGGGCACTAATTCTTCTTTGTCCTCTAGCCCCAGACAGCCTTTCCCCGGAGGCTCACCTGCCTCCAAGTCAGCTCCTAGGCTCCTCATCAGATGGCCTGGCCACTACACCACCCCCAGATGACAGCCCAGCCCTGAAGGTGTTTCGCTGCCTAGTGTGCCAGGCTTTCAGCACAGACAGCCTGGAGCTGTTGCTCTACCACTGCAGCATAGGCCGGAGCCTCCCGGAAGCAGAATGGAAGGAGGTGGCTGGAGACACACACCGCTGCAAACTGTGCTGTTACGGCACCCAGCTCAAGGCCAACTTCCAACTCCATCTCAAGACTGACAAACATGCCCAGAAGTACCAGCTGGCAGCCCACTTGCGGGAGGGGGGTGGAGTCCTGGGCACCTCCTCCCCACTGTCCCTAGGGGATGGGGCCCCTTATGGTTCTGTCTCCCCCTTGCATCTACGCTGTAACATCTGTGACTTCGAGTCCAATAGCAAGGAGAAGATGCAGCTTCATGCCCGGGGTTCAGCCCATGAAGAAAACAGCCAAATTTATAAGGTGAGGCTGGGGCAGAAGGGAATATGAAAGAAGGAAAGGGGATGGAAGAGGAAGAGGAAATTCAGAGTAGGGAAGTGATGAAAAACCCAAGTTGATAGACATAAAGAAAAGGGGAAACCTGGAGCAAGAGGTTAAAGCATAATGGACTCTGAAAAGAGACAGGTTTTAGTCACTCTTCTGGTGTTGGGGCTGGAGGAATGGATCCATGTCAGCTCAGTTCATCACATCACCTGAAAAAGTTTAAGCATCTAGGAGCAGATTCCATCTACATACTAGGAGGAAGTCCAGGATTGGTAGGAGAAGGGATTGGGAGAACAAGCAGGATACTCAGGTGGCCCTGGTGAGGGAAGCAAGCGGGTGTGGGGGGTGTTAGGGAGGGAGATAATACTAGACAGGCTCTCTTGGGGGAGGAAAGAAGTCCCCTGAAATCTGGAGATGTCCCTGTGGGCCTGACACAGCATCTTCCTTTGGTTCTAGTTTCTGCTGGAATTGGAAGGAACTGAAGCAGGGACAGAGCTGGGACTTTACCGTTGCTTATTGTGTGCCTGGGAGACACCCTCTCGCTTGGCTGTGCTGCAACACCTGCGTGCACCTGCCCACCGCGATGCCCAGGCCCAGAGGCGTCTACAGCTGCTGCAGAATGGCCCAACTGCTGAGGAAGGAATCTCAGCTCTCCAGAACATCCTGAGCTTCAGCCATGGGCAGCTCCGGACTCCTGGTGAGGATAAGGGCTTGGCAGGAGGGTAGCAGACTGCAGGGAATAGATGATTAAGTGATCCAGGAAAGAGATGGGTCTGTGAGCCATCAGTAGCAAGTAGAAAGTAGCTATGAAGGTGTGAAGACAGGATGGAAGCTTCAGGAATATAAGTGCTACTCATCAAGAAGGAAAAGAAGCCGGGCGCCAGTGTCTTACGCCTGTAATACTAGCTACCCAGGAGGCTGAGATCTGAGGATCATAGTTCAAAACCAGCCTGGGCAGGAAAGTCTGTGAGACTCTTATCTCCAATAAACCATCTCAGTGGCACTGTGGATCAAGTGGTAGAGCGCTCGCCTTGAGCTGAAGAGCTGGGGGACAGCGCCCAGGCCCATTGATTCTAAGTAGTGACTCATGTCCTAGGTTCTACTGAATTTAGAGGGTAGCATTCTGGAACAGTTCCAGGCAAAGAAAAGGCAAAAACAAACAAACAAAAAGGTATAACCTGATTCATGCTGGGCCACACTTATTGGAAGAAAGTGGAAACTGTGGGCACGGTCCAAGACAACAGGGTGAAAAGAGGCCTGGATAAGCTTCTCAGCTATTTCCTATCTCTTAGGAGGTCTTCAGCCCTAAGGCATGGCTTTAGAGTCCCTATTATGCATCTGAGGTTGTACTAATAGAGGCCAGGAACAGCCAGCTAGGCACCACTGGTGCAGAGGGTGCAAAAGAAGAGCCTGGAAGGGGCTATCAGAAGTGGGCATGGGTGTCTGGGCTTTGGAGAGGCCAACAGTGGGCAAGGGTGAGGGCACAGGCAGCAACAACCAGGAACAGGCAGCATTGACTGGTGCTAATTGAATTGCCAATATGCTGGCTGGAGTTAAGTGCTGGAGGGGCCCAGATCAATAGCTAACGATCCTGGCGCAGGGCTGAATGGAGTTAAGGAACTTTAACACTTTAATTAGGCTGCCACCGAAAATAAATTCCTACACGTCTGTCAATTCTTACTTGAGTGGTAATCTCCTCTCCCAGCTAGACCCGCCGCCTCCTGCTTACCACAGCCACAGTTTTTCTTCAACCTTAGCTTCCTTCTGCAGTGTCCCTCCCTCTCCATGGTTGAAGCTCACTCCCTGCTTCCAGAGTCAGTCAAGCCAGAGAGCCAAGTTTAGTTCAGTTTCCATATCTCCTGCCAAATTTGAATTTGCTCCTATAAAAGGATTGGGTGGGGGGTAGGGGGGGAAGGGAAATATAGTGGGGGAATGGGGGTGGTTGTGATCTCTTAAGTTCTACTATTTCTTAAACTGTATTTGTTTCCCTCCATCCTTTGTGTATTTCTTTTTGGTGGCTTTTTATCCTCTTCTGCCTATTGATTTACCTGTCCATTTTCTTCCTCATTGACTGGCTGCTTGTCCTGTTTCCTCTGCCTTATGTCTTCCTTCACCTCTTTAAGAAGATTCTCTCCCCTTGTTCTACACAGGAAAGGCTCCTGTTACTCCCTTAGCTGAGCTGTCCACCCCTGAGAAAGATGCCCAGAGCAAGATAGAACAACTAAGTGAGTTGCTCCTCTGATCTGTTTTCTTTTCCCTCTCCATAGTCCTCATATATTCTGGGATATTCACAGGACCTTGTAGAAATCCATGCACACAGCAAGGTTTCCTGTGCTGAAGGAGTAAAACTGATCAAAGAAAAGGCTCACTGAGCTGGTGCCAGTGGCTCATGCCTGTAGTCCTAGCTACTCAGGAGGCTGAGATCTGAAGATCTCAGTTCAAAGTCAGCCCTGGCAGGAAACTCCGTGACATTCTTATCTCCAATAAACCACCAGAAAACTGGAGGTGGTGCTTTGGCTCAAGTGGTAGAATGCTAGCCTTGAGCTGAAGAGCTGAGGGACAGCACCCAGGCCCAGAGTTCAAGCCCCATGACCGACCAAAAAAAAAAAAAAAAGACCTGAAAAGGCTCACTGAGAAGAGGGGAAGCCAAACAATGGAAGTCAGGGCATTTTTGCCCTTTGCCCTGACTTGAGGACCCAATTGGACATTCTGCTAAGCTGGAGTTGGCCCCTGCTGGGCCTCACTTGGCCACTGAGTTTCTTGCCCATTCTACTTTCTGGAGCCTACCTCCTACCCCAAAAGCACTGTGCTACAAATCACCTTAAGGGCTTGGCATAGGGTGGGGGTGTCTTGGAAGAGAAAGGGAAGACCGTCAGAGTCCCTTAATCTCTTCTGCTCTTATCCTCAGCATCTGAAGAGGCAGAGAACAAGACTGGCCTTTCCAGAGACAATGCCAACCAGACCATGGTCAGAACTGGGGTAACTGGGATGAGTAGAGGCAGAGGCCTGGTTTTACTGATATATTCTGTGTGATAAGGCTTTTGTCATGCTTGTGGCTTATTTCACTTAGAATACCACACATGAGAAATCCTGCCCCAAACCAGCTGTATGTTCATACATATGACACAGAGCTACCCAGGAAAGCAAGAAATAGCAAGAGATGACAGGAAGGGATAAGAGGAAAGGTGAAAAGAGAATCTATCGAAGGTAAGAAAGACAGGAGGCAGATGGAGGAAAGAACAAATAAGTGGAAAGGGCAAAAAGAAAGAAAAAAAAAACTAGCTGAAGAAAGAACAAGTAGACACAAGGCAGATGTTTATATACTTCAGAAAGCCCAAAATCTGGGCAGAGCTGTCCTGGCATCTCCTTGATGGGAGACACCAAGCAAATGACTTACCCTCACCGGAAGTCCCACAGATCTGTAAATCCCTAGGACTTGCATCTAGGTAAGACCCAGGAGTTAAGCTTTGTGGCCTGAAGACTATGAGGAACCAATCTGAAGAGGCTATCCTGCCCTAACAGCCTTCCATACTACCCAATGGTATGCAGTAATGCACCTGTCCAGTTTTTTTTCCTAATTTCTGTTCCCTCCAGCCTGTCTGGCATAGATGTCTATTCTAAGGGCTAGGTGTTTAAGATGAGTACCTGGTTTTCCTTCCTCTGTGACAATCCTGCCCTTGATGTTACTATTCCTTTCCAAGTGACAAGAGGGGAAAGTAGCCAGACAAGCCTGATCTGAGGCAGCAGGTGAATGCAGCCTGGCAGTTCAGCCAGTCAGATGACAGCAGGCCTCTTGTGGTTCCTCCCCTCTGGAGGTGTGGGCAAGGTTGTGCTGAGAGGGCCAGACCCCAATTTTTCCAGGCCACTGGAGGAGCTGTGGTATTTGTCTGCATTAAGAAGAGAGAAACAAGGAAAAGTGGAAGCAGTTGAGCCAGCTTCTGAGCAGATAGATAGGGAGGGGGCCCCCCTGCATATGTTCAAGAACATTGAAGAAGCAACTAATGGCCAGGACCAAGGAACCTCTGGGTCCAGAAAGTACCCAGAGGAAATGGAGATACCTCAGAGAAGACAGGCAGGATGGGAATGGGTACAAAAACAAAATCTGGTATGGTACAGGGCTGTTACCTGGAGAACTGAGTAGGGCAGAAGAAGAGACAGAAAAAGATACACCAAAATAATTCTAAAAAGTAAGAAAGATAGAAGCCAGAGTGGAGGGAGAGACAAAGACAGGCAAGGTAGCATTCTAGAGTAGGCCTTTGTCCCAGTTCAAGGGAGTGCTCTTTCAGGACTGGCTGGGAGCTGGGTAGAATGAGATGCCTTCCCTCCTATATCAGGAGTTGGGAGACAGTGCTGTGTTGAGAAACCCAAATGCCTGTGTGATGGTGGGTCCCTCCTACCCTGACTCTTCTTCCACCACCCATCTGTCTCCCCAGGTATACTGCTGTCCTTACTGCAGCTTCATGAGCCCAGAATCTGACCAGGTGAGAGCTCATACACTGTCCCAGCATGCTGTGCAGCCCAAATACAGGTGCCCACTGTGCCAGGAACAGCTGGCGGGCCGGCCTGCCCTGCACTTCCACCTCAGCCACCTTCACAACGTGGTACCCGAGTGTGTTGAAAAGCTGCTACTTGTGGTGAGTATGGGCTGAGCAAGGCTATCAGGGCCATCTGGGAGGGAGGAAGAGGGAAGAGTAAGGATGTAAAGGCCAGGGGAAGAGATTGAACAAAGCAACATTTCAGAGACTTACGTTGGGAATTTATAGAGTTGGGAAGATACTCACCACTGAGCTTCCTGTACTCATGGATGAAACCAACAAGTATCCTCACTTCCTTTAAATCCTGAGAAGAGCTGTTTTAACACAGGCCGAGGCCTGTCAGGAACAGGTAGCCTTAGGGTAAGATTACTTTCATCCTGTGAAAGAGAGAGACCAGAGGTGATTGTCAGCTGCCAGACTGTCATCAGTTGGAAAAGCAGCAGTTTGATGGGAGATTGACCCACAGAAGGGGAGCTCAGCACAGGTATAGGTGTAGGTACAGTATGGATAGTTCAGGAACACCACTAGGGGTGGTGGTGAAGCCACTAAGATTTCTCAAATTACAGGCCACAACTGTAGAGATGACCTTTACGACCAAAGTGCTTCCTGGGCCCACACTAAACCCTCTGGAGGATGGCCCAGAGCCTCCCACTCCTGGGCCTGAGTCTACTCCCAGCAAAGAGCAGGCAGCAGGTAAGAAAGGGGACAGCATACCTCCAAGGTGGCAGGAAAGGGGATCTGATCTCCACAGACTAAGGCGGCCTTAAGACAACTGAGGCCAGTCATTTGTCTTGGATATTGACTGGGTGAGCCCAGCTTGAACACTGACCTCTGCTTATTGCACCTTCTTCTCTTTCCTGTAGAAGGCCCTAACCTGACCCCAGAAGCCAGCCCAGATCCAGTTCCTGAACCTCCCCTGCCCTCAGTTGAGGCTCCAGATAAGCCCTCTGAAAGCCTTGATCAACCATCTTCTCCAGCCCCATCTCCAGGCTTGCAGCCTGATGCCCAAGCTGAAGAAGTAGCTCCTCCACCTGCCACAATGGAGGAGGAAGAAGTGGGAGAACCCCGTGCTGCAGAGCCAGCCCCAGCTGACTCTCGCCACCCTCTAACCTATCGGAAGACTACCAACTTTGCCCTGGACAAGTTTCTTGATCCTGCCAGGCCCTATAAGTGTACTGTGTGTAAGGAGTCCTTCACTCAGAAGAATATCCTCTTGGTTCACTATAATTCTGTCTCCCACCTTCATAAGATGAAGAAGGCTGCCATTGACCCCTCTGGCCCTGCCCGGGGAGAGGCAGGTGCCCCACCCACCACCACTGCTGCCACAGACAAGCCTTTCAAGTGTACAGTTTGCCGAGTTTCCTATAATCAGAGTTCCACCTTGGAGATTCACATGCGGTCAGTTCTGCACCAGACTCGGTCACGGGGAACCAAGAGTGATGCCAAGGCAGATGGGCCAGAGCGTAGCCAAGAAGAGCCTAAAGAAGGCGAGACTGAGGGGGAGGTGGGCACTGAGAAAAAGGGCCCTGACTCCTGTGGCTTCATATCGGGACTGCCCTTCCTGTCCCCACCCCCACCTCCCTTGGATCTGCATCGATTCCCAGCCCCTCTCTTCACCCCACCAGTCCTGCCTCCCTTCCCTCTAGTGCCCGAATCCCTGCTGAAGCTCCAGCAGCAGCAGCTGCTCCTGCCCTTCTACCTCCATGACCTCAAGGTGGGGCCCAAGCTGGCACTTGCTGGGCCTGCACCTATGTTGTCCCTTCCAGCTGCCACCCCACCTCCCCTCCCACCTGCCCCAAAGGCTGAGCTGGCTGAGCGAGAATGGGAACGCCCACCCGTGGCAGAGGAAGGGAATGAGGCAGGGTCTTCCTCCCCACCCCACCCATCACCCAACGAGGCAGCCAGCACAGCAGCAAAAGCTCTCCTAGAAAACTTTGGCTTCGAACTGGTGATTCAATACAATGAAGGGAAGCAGGCTGCACCCCCTCCTCCAACACCCCCTCCCCCAGAGACCCTGGGGGGTGGGGACAAACTGGCCTGTGGGGCCTGTGGGAAGCTCTTCTCCAATATGCTTATCCTCAAGACCCACGAGGAGCATGTCCACCGCCGTTTTCTGCCCTTTGAGGCTCTCAGCCGGTATGCTGCTCAGTTTCGCAAGAGCTATGACAGCCTATTCCCACCCCCTGTGGAGCCCCCCAAGCCACCCGATGGGTCCCTAAAGTCACCTGCGCCCCAGCTTGGCCCAACTTTCCTGGTCCCAGAGCCTGAAGCAGGGGGGACCCGTGCCCCTGAGGAGCGAAGCCGGGTAGGACACTGGCCCCCTGAGGAGGAAGAAAGCTCCAAAGGAAATCTTCCTCCCCTCATGCCTGCAGGCCGCCGCTTCTCCAGAACCAAGTTCACGGAATTCCAGACTCAGGCCCTGCAGTCTTTCTTTGAGACCAGTGCCTACCCCAAAGATGGAGAGGTGGAGCGGCTTGCAAGTCTCTTGGGTCTGGCTAGCCGTGTGGTGGTAGTATGGTTCCAGAATGCCCGCCAGAAAGCACGCAAAAATGCCAGTGAGGGTGGGCCTGTGCCAGCTGGAGGTGGCACCAGTGGAGGTTCTGGCTGTAGGCGCTGCCACATCACCTTCTCTTGTGTTTTTGAGTTAGTACGGCACCTCAAGAAGTGCTATGACGACCAGACTCCCGAGGAAGAGGAGGAAGAGGCAGAGAGAGGGGAAGAGGAAGAAGAGGTGGAAGAGGAAGAAGTGGAGGAAGAACAGAGACTGGAACCCCCAACAGGGCCTGACGGTCCATCACCTGAACCTCCAGACGTGGAGGAGCTGAGTCAAGTGGAGGCAATAAAGCCAGGAGACAAAGAGCCGGAAGGAAAGGCTCCTCCCTCGCCTTCCACAGCCCACACCTGTGACCAGTGCACCATGGCTTTTCCCAGCCAGGACCTCCTGTCCAGTCACCGCCAACTGCATTTCCTGCCATCTGTGCAACCCAGTGCTCCCCCTCAACTCCTAGATCTGCCCTTGCTGGTTTTGGGGGAGCGAAACTCTCTGGTGGCAGGCAACCCACCTGCGCCAGGGCCACCCCTCAAACGGAAGCATGAGGATGGCAGTCTGTCCCCCACAGGCAGTGAGACAGGGGGTGGAGGGGAGGGCGAGCCTCCCCGGGACAAGCGGCTGCGCACTACCATCCTGCCCGAGCAGCTGGAGATCCTGTACCGCTGGTATATGCAGGACTCCAACCCGACGCGCAAGATGCTTGACTGCATCTCCGAGGAGGTGGGGCTCAAAAAGCGAGTAGTACAGGTCTGGTTTCAGAATACCAGAGCTCGGGAAAGGAAAGGTCAGTTTCGGAGTGCCCCTGGGGGTGTGGGCAGCCCAGCAGTCAAAGCCACTGTCACACCTACCCCCGCACCCTTCCCCAAGTTCAACCTCCTATTGGGCAAAATAGATGAAGGGACTGGGAGGGAAGTTCCCAAAAGGGAACCACCTGGTTTTCCCTACCCCACAGTCACCCCTGCTGCTGGGCCCCTACCTTTTCTGCCACCTGGGAAAGAGACCACCACACCAACACCAGAGCCGCCTCTCCCACCACCTCCTCCACCCATTGAGGATGAGGGCCCAGAGGAGCCATCCAAAGCCTCTCCAGAGAGTGAGGCTTGTAGCCCATCAGCAGGGGACCTAAGTGATTCATCCGTTTCCAGCCTTGCTGAACCAGAGTCCCCTGGGGCTGGAGGGAGCAGTGGCGGGTTAGGAGGTGGGACTGGAGTTCCAGATGGAATGGGGCAGCGACGCTACAGGACTCAGATGAGCAGCCTGCAGCTGAAGATTATGAAAGCCTGCTACGAAGCCTACCGCACTCCCACCATGCAGGAGTGCGAGGTGCTGGGGGAGGAAATTGGGCTGCCTAAGAGAGTCATTCAAGTCTGGTTCCAGAATGCTCGTGCCAAGGAAAAGAAGGCCAAACTGCAAGGGGCAAGCCTTGTTGGTAATGGGGGAAGCGGTGAGGGTCCCCTGGCAGCCCAGCGCACGGACTGTCCCTACTGTGATGTCAAGTATGATTTCTATGTCTCCTGCCGAGGCCATCTCTTTTCCCGCCAGCACCTGGCCAAGCTCAAGGAGGCGGTCCGAGCCCAGCTCAAGAGTGAAAGCAAGTGCTACGACTTAGCTCCGGCATCCGAGGCGCCACCAGCTCCCAAGGTCCCACCTGCTCCAACACCTGCCTCTGTGCCTCTTGGGGCTGCTCCAACCCTGCCTCGCCTGGCCCCAGTCCTTTTGTCTGGCCCAGCTCTGGCCCAGCCGCAGCTCAGCAGTTTAGCACCTTTCAATTCAGGTGAGTAGGGAAAGCTGGGAGAAGCTGACTTGAAAGAACATCCCTCTAACAGCATGCCTTTCCCTTCCCTTCTTGACACTTGTGCTGTGCGTCTCCTGTGGCCTTCCTTGCTTCAGGCTCCTTGGTAAAGGAGGGAGAGGGGTGTGGAAGCTATGTGTGGGAAGGTGAGTGTGTGGGAGGGGGGAGAGAGAAAGAGAGAGAGAGCGCGCTGCTCTGTAGCAGGAGGGTCAGGAGCTAGCTAATCCTTCATCACCCGTTTCATCTTCTAGGCTCTGCAGCCTCCTCAGGCCTCCTTGGCCTTGCCACTTCAGTCCTGCCTGCTACCACAGTGGTCCAGACTGCAGGCCCTGGCCTCCCCTTACCCCAGAGACCTGTGCCCGACCAAACCAACAATTCCACAGCAGGCACTACTGACCCAGTCCCAGGCCCAGCTACTGAGCCCTCAGGGAACAAGGTATCTAGTGAGCGAAAGCCAGGAGCAGCTCCTCCCAGCTCCTCCAGTGATGCCCTCAAGAACCTCAAAGCACTGAAGGCCACTGTCCCAGCCTTGTTGGGGGGCCAATTCCTGCCCTTCCCATTGCCCCCTGCAGGGGGAGCAGCACCCCCAGCTGTCTTTGGCCCCCAATTACAGGGGGCCTATTTCCAACAGCTCTATGGCATGAAGAAGGGGCTGTTTCCCATGAACCCTGTGATACCTCAGACCCTTATTGGGCTGCTCCCAAATACTCTCCTACAGACACCCTCCCAGGCCCCTGAGCCCACAGCCACAGCACCTCCAAATCCTCCTGAATTGCCCGCTCTGGGGGAGGGGGAAGCTGGTGAGGCTGATGAGCTGCTGACAGGCAGCACCGGCATCTCCACTGTGGATGTGACTCACCGCTACCTGTGCCGCCAGTGCAAGATGTCATTTGATGGGGAAGCCCCAGCTACTGCCCACCAGAGATCCTTCTGCTTCTTTGGGCGGGGCTCTGGGGGTCCCATGCCTCCCCCACTGCGGGTGCCCATCTGCACCTACCACTGCCTGGCATGTGAGGTGCTGCTGAGTGGGCGTGAAGCCCTGGCCTCCCACCTGCGCTCCTCGGCCCACAGGCGCAAGGCGGCCCCACCCCCAGGGGGCCCATCCATCACCGTCACCAACGCCGCCACTGCTGCCACAGCTGCTGTGGCTTTTGCCAAAGAGGAAGCAAGATTACCTCACACGGACTCCAACCCAAAAACTACTACTACCTCTACACTTCTAGCTTTATAAACAGATAAACCAAGATAGGGAGAGGGGAGGGCCTCAGAGCTTTCTCTTATACCCAGAGGGGTGTTTGGTAGGAGCTCAGATCCCTCGCCCCAACCTTTGGCTCTGCCCACCTCTTGGGAATCTTTCAATTCTCACCCTCTGTGGGCTTTACACACCCCACCTCCAGCAGAGTCCTGCCTCCTCCTCACCCAGCCACCGATCCTTGTCCTCAAAACTTGCAGATGTACTCCTTACCCTTGTCTACAAATACACACACACACACACACACACACACACACACACACCCCTTTCATCCTGACTATTCTTACATGTCTGCCTCCAGACCAAAAAAAAAAATCTATCCTCCATTCCTTCTTCCTTGCCCTATTAAATTCCTAGCCCCCTTCATAAATGACCATACATAACTATCCAGTGCTATCCCACTGACTGAGAAAACACCAAAAAGAAAAAAAAAAAGGAAAGAAAAAAAAAGAAGAGAAAATGAAATGAAAGAAGAGAAACAAGAAAAAAGAAAACCCAAGACAAAAGTGGGGGGCAGAATACAAACTGCCACACCCCTTCACCCCACCCCTACTTTTCTAGAGCGCCATACCGCTCACAAACTCTTTCCAAAACCTACTTGGCTCCTAAAGTAGGAGCCTAGGATGGGCAGGGAGCCCATAAAACTAACCAAACTGGAGGTTGGCAGAGGAAGAAGGCCCCCATTCACTCTCCCATATCCCTCCCAACCTCTCTTCGCCTGACAGGGGGCCCCTGCAGCCTGGACTCAGCAGAAGCCGCCGCCAGGAACCCCTCTGCCAGCCTCCACCCAGCATCCTGGGAACTGCAGTAACTTATTCTCAAAGGCTTTAAACACAGAGATCCTCTCAGCAGCTGTGGGCCTGCCCCTTGTCCTAGCCCTGTCACAGGGTGGGCCAGCCTCCAGGGATCAGCACTGCCCACCAATGGCAAATCCAAAGTTCTTTGAAAAAAAAAAAAAAAACTGAAACACACACAACCAAAAATGAGAGTGAGAGAGAGAGTGTGCATATGCACACGAAAGAGAGATGGAGAGACCAGAGGAATGAACTAAAGAATAACAAACTTGGAAAATACAGAAGAAAAAAAACACCCAACCTCCCATCAAACAAGTGGTTTTTTTTTGTTTTGTTTTGTTTTTCCCCTGTTTGTGTCACCCTTGCCCTCATGTTAAGGATTTCTCTAAACCTTCTCAGCTCTGGAAGACCAGATTGCTTTAACTCTGGTGAATCTCAGGACTGGAAGCAGTTGGCCCTTCCCCTTTGTCTGGACTGTGGGGAGAGACATGTTGCTGTCCCATGAATTGAGTATCAAAATGGGTAATAACCCATCTTTCTCAGCTGTCAAAAATCAATGCTTGAAATATCTGAGCGGTCCCAGGAAAAGATGGGTGAACAGGGCAGGGTTTCTGTGTCCCTTTTGCCTACCACCATCTCCTCTCATTTACTCTTTCCACAGACTTATTTCCCTCTCTGATGGCCCTATCACATTTCTAGATCCTTCTTGAATTTCCTTTGCCTTTGTAGGATTAATCCCTTGCTCCCCATAATTGATTTTCCTCCCTCTTACTCTGTCCTTGCTCCTGCTCCCTCTAGCTGAGCCCAACCTTTCCACTAAGCAGCAGCTGCTGGAGGTGGCTCCAAGAGTTAGGACCTGCCTATGAAGCTCAGAGGGGATAGGAGGGAAAGAAGATGACTGAAGCACAAGGTGAGTCTTTGATGGGTGCTCTCATCAGAGACCCATCAGAAGAGGCATGCCCTAGGAGAAGCACCCCCATCCCAACCTTACTGTTTCTTTGACCATCAAGGGGGTAATTTTAGCAAGTCCAGAATCCAGCTAAAGTGGCACAGAGTAGAGTAGTAGGTGTTTTATTTTAGCAAAGAAAATCCTGCAAAAATTTCCCACTCCCCTGACCCCAGAGATGTCTCCCCTCAGACTTCTTCCATTACCATGATTCATTCAGTACTCGTATACACGTGAGCCAGGCTTGGGACTTAGGTTTTCCAGTCACTCTGCTCTGTGAACATGTTAATACTAATACTATGTGCAGAAAAGGGAAAGAGGGGGAGAGAGAATTCAGCTCAGTCCCTAGTCCCCATCTATTCTGGCAATCTCACTTTCTGTCCATTTATTTTGAAAAGTAAAAACCCCCAACTCCAGCCAATTGTGGGTAGGGTAGAACTCGTTATTCTGTCAATACCAAAAAATGCCAGCTACAAATGTAGGCAAAAGGAAAGAAACTGACCCAGTAGTCTGGCACCTGCTGCCACCCTTCTTAATATTCCTGCCTCTCAGCATTTCTCTCGCACCCCTCTTTCCCTGTCCTCTTCTCTCTTGTTGAAATTCTATGTATAAAACTATTTTCTTAGCATGTGTATGAGGAAAGAAGCTTTTTCCACTCTGTGCTTTCTGAGAATGTAACTTGTGTATAAAAGTTGAAAACAAAGCAAACAAAAATAAGAAAAAGAAAGAAACATTTTTAAAGAAAATTTTGACAAACATTCAGCATGGGATGATTAGAAGAGTGGTGTCATGTATTTTATGGACTTACGAGCCAAGACAGGTTGGCTTTGGTTAGTAATGTTTTCACCAGAAAACACTCCTCTAGCTCTCTAACACCTCTTAAAACTCAAACACCTTGGCCTGGGAGACACGATATACACACAGCAGATAACAATAACTAACAACTAACATAAACAACTGTACTTACCCGGAATCTGGAATTTGGGGGACAAAATGCAGCTGGATTTGCTGACAGGTCAACATACTTCTTGAGAATGTGCTATTCTGTATTCCCAGCCCCTTTCTCGTAGCATAACGTTGGCAGTAGCCCTCCAACTTCATAGAGCAATACATGGTGGTGGTTCTGGCAGGACAGAAGGCCGCATCAGCACAGCTCTATGCAGAGTGCTAGAGGTAACCACCAACTAAGCAGGATCCTGTGAGTTAAAAGCCTAAAGTCAAGCACGTGGCACAGTATGGTGGAAGAACCTCACTATCCCTAAAGCCTGAATAAATGACTCACGAATTCGTTTTCCATGGTATAGGAGAAAGTCCTAAGGTTTCTAAAGACAGCATTCAAAATAGGATCATTCCTTTACTGCCAGGGTCATTACCAGGAGGCAGGAGGTATAAATTATTTTACCTGTCTTGGCTGTTAACCAGAATCTGTGATGATGACGTAAAAGTGCCTAATCCTCCATCAGGAACAATTTCAAAGTTTGCTCGAAGAAAATACACTGTTGGCAATAGGACCACAGAAAGAAACCTGTTCTTTCTTCACCCCTCTAGTCTGGAACATGCTTACAGAGAATTCAGAAGAACCCCCCCAAAAGCCAATTATTCTAGATATAATAGCACTTACCTGCTTAATTCTTATATTTGTTCCTTATCCACTTTGGAGGCTTATAGATCTGGTCACTAATTCCCCAAATTACCACCCTTATCTATTTTAAGACATTTACTTATCCAATCATTTACCACGATAAAAGATAGCAAACCAAACCCAAAGCTCTGTGTATATAACTGCACTAACACAACAAGTAAACCACCTTCAGAAAACAGCAGACCTCTGTCAAGAGGTCTATAGGACAACACAAATGTCAGCAAGGATAGTGCCCTTGGACAAACACATAGGATTGAGGGGCATGTCCCTCAGTAAATAGGGAGGGAAGGCTTATAGATAAAGAGAATATCTAACAAGTATCCATTGTTACTCATGGGAAAAGGGCCTTAACCAAGGACTCTAAGGAGAAAAGAAACCAGGAAGAAACTTGGCAAAACTCACATCACTCTGAAACTGGGTAAATTGGGTTGGGACACAGTGGAACAGGAAAAGCTTGATGTTGGCGTATATTTCTCTCAGAAACTTGTGAGCATGAGGGTGTGATTTCTAAAGGATTGGGTTATGAAGAAATTCCCCAATAGTAGGAAATGCTTGTTACAAAAAGAAAGACAACAGACCCCACATGAAGGCCTACAGGATTATAGCTTTGATGGCATGGAAGAAAATTTGAAAGGACACTTAGAGAAAACATACCAACTTCCATCAAGTTTGGGGAATATAAAAATAATCCTAAGGGAAAGCGCCTCTTGGAGAGACTATATTTTATAAGAACATAATGCTAGGTGACAAAGCTGGCTGACTCAATTGTATGACTACCCAGAGGACCTGGCCAATCTTCTACACACAGCAATAAGAAATGTGGCCATTATCCCCTACCACTTTATCAGCAGTCTGAGCCTGGTATTTCTTTTTTCTTTTCTTTTTTTTTTGGGGGGTCCGGTCGTGGGGCCTGAACTCTGGGCCTGGGAGCTATCCCTCAGCTCTTCAGCTCAAGGCTAGCGCTCTATCACTTGAGTCACAGCACCACTTCCGGGTTTTTTCTTTTTACTTATGTAGTGCTGAGGAATCGAACCCAGGGCCTCAGGCATGCAAGGCAAGTGCTCTACCACTAAGCCAACTTCCCAGCCCCTGAGCCTGGTATTTCTTATAATTCCTCAGCTACAAAGAGATCTTTGGCTAGAAGCTAATGGTGAAAGTAGAATGAACCAGAAAGAAGTTGAGCCTACCCAAGAAGATGGGAAAAGTGATATGGCCTCAACCATATACAGATTCTTACTCTACAGAAACAAGTAATTGACTCAGCATTGCTCCACATCTACTGTGCTTATCCAATAACAAATCCAGTCCTTGTCTACTCCTACAATAGGCTCACTTCTGAATATCCCCTCCAAATGCACTTGCAGAAGCAACATCTGCAATTTCTTCAGTGTCTGTAGTAGGCTTGACCCTATACTCTGCTGATCCCTGTCCATTTCATAGCCTAGGATCCAACCCTCCAGGAAGACACATGAGTAGTACCTATCCTCTACACATCACAAAATCCCTCTAGATCTCACTAAACCACAAAGAACAATCTCCTGGCAAGGCTCCTAACTTCTTGGTTCTCAATAGTAAGTTGCCAGAAACAAATGGATATACATCTAT